AACTTATAATATATTAATAAATCATATATAATCTCTTCTTTCAAAAGTCTGTGCTGACAAATTGACCTGATGATATGCAACCCAAATGGACCATGCTACTCTCGGGTCGAATACATACCAATAACAGTTATGGGCTTAGACACCTAATCAAATAGGCTCTTGGTCAATCGATCCACAATGACCCAAATCGAATCCACTCTACATGTTGTTCGAGGCAACTTCGTACTGAATTCGGTGGTAATTTCTTCTCATTTCCAAATCGGAATTTCTAGGGCTGCATTTTGTCGTGAGGCCACTGATGTTTGACCTTGACTTTCCTGCATGTCAAACACCTGTCTACATACCGAGATACATCCCGCTTCCTACAAGGCCACCAATAATCAGGACGGAGATCTCTATACATATTTGTTGCTCATGGATAGATAGAGAACCTTGAATGTGTGCCTCCTTCATTATAACTTGATGTGTACCACCCTAATAAGGAACCCACACTCTCCTATGGAGAGTCATTAACCCCCGACTATCATAATCGAAGGAAGCTACCTTACCAACTATACGCTCCCTCCTCTAGTGCTGTTCCTTCATAGCCTTATCCCGAGCCTCTCAAATCTGCTATGAGAGTGGAGTAATCATTGTCATCCTCAAACAAATATCTCTTATCGGATTCGCGACCTCCTTGTGGCTGAGAGCATCGACCATTACATTAGCCTTTCCCGGATGGTAAAGGAGCTCACAATCATAATGCTTCACCACATCTAACCACCGATGATACCTCATTTTTAGATTCGGCTAATCCATCAAATACCTTGGGCTCTTGTGATCAGTGTAAATCATACAGCGGACCCCATAGAGGTAATGCCGCTAAATCACGAGGGTGAATACCACAGCTCCCAACTCCAAATCATACATCGGATAATTCTCCTCATGAGGCTTTAATTGCCTCGAAGCATAAGCAATAACGTGACCCCTCAACATCTAAACTACACCCAAACCCATGATCAACACATCACAATAAACTACAAAATCCTCAACACTCTCTGATAGGGTCAGAATTGGTGCTGATGTGTGCTAGGTTTGATTATTAATACAAATGATTCAAGAAAAACAGTGAAGAACATAAGATGTAAATATAATCTGGTTAGCTCATATGAAGTCTGGAGAGAGTACAAAGTATCGAGACTATTTTACAATCTAAAGTGCACAAAAGTTACACTCTACGCTAGTACTTAACCTATTTATAGGGTACAACAGACTCAACAAAAAATACAAGGACTAAACTTTCTAGCTTGCCTTGTAAATATATAGAAAGTTGAAATCATTTGGATTTTGACTCCTCACTATAAACATTTCGACCCTTACAATCCCCCATTAGTGAGATTAGTCGAAATTATGCCATCAACTTTAAAGTCTGTAGAAGTTCCCTTCGAATCTCCATATACTACAAGATGGTCTTTCGAATCTCTGCCTTGTCTCCACTATCGTTCTTCTTGCAGTTGTTGAATCGAATAAAGAGATTTGTATATTGAGAATTTGTATACCTCTCAAGATCACTCACTTGGAACAATAACTTTGTCATCCGCCCATTCTTGTTCTTTCCTCGAAACTTAAAACCAAGAGGTTGATGAATTATTTCACCATCTTCATAATCATCAATGTTAAATTTTCCTCTTAGAAAACTATTCAAGGACTTTAGTAGGTTTCTTGACAGCTGAAGCAAGCTCAATACCAGTGATTACCAAGTAATCATAATGGTTGTCTATGAAAACCTTGATATGAGAAAAACCAATGAAGATATCATCCTTGTTGGTGTCAACAATCTTCGAAACATCCACATTACTTCAAAGATTTGTGACCGTGATCAATTTGTGTAAGTTCATTAATGGGAAATCAGCAGCCGTGAACTCACAAGCAACATTGTTTTCTCTTTAGACCACCTATATAGCAAAAATTTGGCAAAACACCTTCGAACAAATTGTTACGCATAATACTCATCACCTTCACTATCATCACAGATGACCATATTTCTTCTTTGTTTTCCTCAATCTTCAATCTTTTGAACTCATCTTTATCTTTGAAGTTGTCTACAATCTTGAACTAAGAAGATGTGAATAACATGCGGTTGATTGGAAAATCAAGCTGATTGTAGTCAGAATTTACAATGTCACAGTTCTTCTTAGGCGTCTTTCGAAAGTAATCATTCATCCCAATCGAAAAATATCCTTAGTTGTTTCATAACACCACTACTTGTTAGTAACACCCTTATACAAGCTAGGTGGGTCATTATCTCTTCGCCTCAATATACTGTTTTTTAGCCTTTGCTTCTCAATGTCAAGAGCTTGTTGCTTTTTCTTCTCTTCTTCTAATGGAACTACATAAATAGCTTTTCCTTTATTACTTGGACCATTATTAAAATTTGGTGGAATTGAACTTGAACTCAAACCTCCAACTCCTTCGTTTATTGAAATTCCATTCATCAGTGCTCTTGTAGTTGTAGAAGTTGTGGTTAATGATATGGGAAGTGAAGTCAGAATTTGTGTCGAACTCACTTTCCCAACTACAACCCATTTCTCATGGTCTTTTGAAGAACCAAATCCTCCAAATCCTTTCTCTTTCCCCTAGTGAAACTTGCACCACATATGGAGCATTAGTTGGTAAACGAAGAACCAACTCAAGGACTAGAGCAAGCTCTGATTTGATATTGGACTCGATATTCAAAATCAATTGAGAAATAGACTCCTGAGAGACTGTTGATTGGTTGGAATGATCAACTTTCAATATAGACTATTTGATACTGGATAAAAAATCTTCCATCTTTTCAAACACCTGAGAATCCTTTTCTGATTGTTCAAATACTCATTGTTAAACTCAACCAACTTAGTGATAGCAGTCGTAATGACATCGACTTTGCTATGAAACAAAGTATAGTTGTTCTCCATTTTCTGAACTTCTTTTGACAACTTAGGTTTGAGTTCATCAAATTTAAGATCCACATATTCCTTCAGTTTTGTCACTTATTCAACAAAGAGTTCATGACATTCCTTTACAACATCATGAAGCTTTTGAATCTCATAGTTAAAGCTCTTGGAATGAATTGCTGACCTTTCTAAAAATTTCTACTCAAAGCCCTCAACTAAGCTTCTAAAGTGATTTTCTTGAGCTTTTAACAAATACTCCATCTCAATACCAGTCACAAAATTCCTTCCCCTGTATTTGCTTGTATTTGAAGAAGAGAATTTATTTTCAAGTTGAGGATTTTGAACTATTTACCTGACATGATTAAGTTATCAGGAACATTCTCCTCCTCAGGATCGAATTGACGATCAACAAAGGACACCATGATCTCATCATCATCAGGTTCTTCAACATGAATCATTCTCTCAGCCTCAGTGGATTGAGAAGAAAATAGAGTGGTAATCGATTCATGCATGATAATCGAATATGTTGTCGAGATGGTTGAAACTGGAATTGAAGTTGTTAAGGGTGATGAAATTAGTGGTAAAGTTGTGGACGTTTCAACTACAAAAGTTTTGATTGTATATGAGATGATGGTTGGTGTGTGGATGGTTCAAGTTTCAAAGGTAGAAGTACCAGATGATTTATTCTTCTACACCCTTTCACCCATGTTGACATTTATGTCCTTATCAGATAAGTCCACAGGGATGACTGGAGTTCGAACCTCCTCCATATTGGACTCGGTATACGAAACCCTGGGTGGTATGACCAAGGTCTTCTCAAGGGTGGATGTTGGTGGTTGATCATTTGAATTGATGTTTATATCCGTATTAGATACATTTACTTTGACATCAGGATCCTCTGTCGCCTTGAAATTCGACTTGAGAGGTGAATCCCTTCGAGGTGATCCAATCACATAGTCTTGTATGTAAATGTCTGATCATCCACTATAACTGTCGTGATTAGTTTCGACTACGACTTTGTCAAGTGGATTCTGCTGCTTTCGTTTCTTCTTTTTCAACTTTTAAGCCATATCCAGGGCTTGACTCTTCTTCGATGCAGGTGAAACAGGAATAATACTTCTCGAAACACCTTTCATGTTGAACTAAGGCTTTCGAATCTTCTTGCCACCCTTCTGAGATGAAAGAACATTGGAGGAATCAACATGTGTTTGCTCAGTACTTATGATTGTAGGTTCTTGCACAAGTTTCTTAACTGGGGAATCAATAGGTTTCTTTGCTGGTTTCTTTGTTCTCTTGAGAATTTCTAATATCGAAGGATTAGTTTCCTTCATAACATCCTTCTTCACTGTTGGTGGTTTCTCAACTTGTTTCTTCTTTTTTGTAACTTTAGAAGCTTTAGAAGAACCTTCATCCCTCTTTGGTGGAAGAACACCAATTGATACAACAAAGTCAATTGAAGTGAAATATTGCACAAGAAGCGGATTTTTAGGATCAACAAGCTTGAGCATTGCATTAGGAATGCAAGAAAAAAGTAGGAAACATGGCTGGATCATCAACAAATATCCTTGGGGCACTCATAGTCGGAAACTCAATACTTTTGACATCAGAAGGGACCGAAATGTATTCTTGTCGATAAACCTTTTTCAAAATTAGACTCCTATAATGAGCACTCAAAACACCATGAGTAAGATTGATGTGAGTAATTGCAGTTCCAAACTCTTCCCAAAGATGTATGGCATAGTCCACATTCAGACCATAATACAGTTCTGCGATGCTGAATACATTTCATGTTTGGGTTTGTCTATTCCTGAGCTTCATCCTGTTCAGAAATGTAACACGATCCTAAACAGAAAACTCCATATGCAAGGAAGACTTGACTTTGTAAAATGACTTATCCCGGTAGCAACTGGTTGATGCCCCCATTTCATTGAAAATATGAAGCACTTGATCAGTTGGAACTTTATAAAAGGTACCTAATACTGGCAACTTCAAGATTTGTGAAAATTGATTCCTCGTAAGCTTCCTCGTTTTTGAATTCGTCAATTGAAACATGACCACCTTTGTTGTTTTGTTGAAGACAACAGTGGAACCAGCAAGATAAATCCACTTCATTGGAACTGCGAATAAAGTAGACAATGCAGTTGATAATAAGGAGTTGATTAGGGTTTAAACAAGCATCTGTAATGGCTCCGGATACTGGTCAATCGTTGGAATCAAATGAAGATTGGTATTCTAAATGTTCATCATGGGTTGTGAAACTTCTTCTTCATTTGTTGTAGTTAGATCAGCAGTGGGATGAGGAACAACCATTACATAGAAGGTGGATGTGTTTGAAAATGATGAATAGCCTGGGATTTTTGGAAATTTGATCCGAGAGCATAAATTTTGATAATGAAATCATCAACTTCCTTTTATAATTGACGGTGTTTTTGAATTTGAACCGGTATCCAATAATATAATGCTACATATTATGTTGATTGTAAAAAGCTCCATGTCATAAAAGTGATCATCATGTTTTCCTTGAATCGGTGAAAATCCTGAACCTTCATGTCCATCGGATCTTTCGTTGTTTCCAAATGGATGAGAACTGTCACATTTTTCAAACTACAACTAGGTACAACTTGTAATTTTGACACCAATATGCTAACATTCCTTCGACATGGAGGCAAGGATCCTTCACTTATGAGATATGGAAGCGAAATCATATGTCATTCTTTTCATCATCTAAGTTTCGAGTTGATAGTACCCAAAAACTCAAGGGTTTCAGTGCATATGTGTGCCAAAGAATAAGAGAGAAGCAATTAAAAAAATGTGGGGATAGTGATATCAAATTTCTTTTGATACAAAAGTAGAATGATCCCAGGAAAGGATCTCTTCATTCAACATCAAGCGAGACGACGAACTACTTGTGTGGTATCCCGTGAATTACAATTGAATACTCTCTGATGAGCATCTAAGGGATTCTTTTGCATTTGTTTAGAAGGTAGCTCCAATTTTGCACAACATCACAACTTAACATAAGTCTGATCCAATTGAACAAACTTACTTGGATGAGCAGTGTAGTCAAGAACAACTATGGTTGGATATGATTTTAAGTGACAAGAAGTCAGAAAAATATTCAAATGATAATCACATTCCAAAAAAAAATTAAGTATTGGATCTTGTTGGGAAAAAATGTATTGGTATTAGAACATTTCATCAAGATCATGCAACACAAATGAAATGTGAATTTGAATATCGAAAAGGTACGAAAACTAGTGTTTCATTAGAATCCTAAACAAAAACTTTCACCATCAATTCATTGATAGTTGTGTTCATTGGGCTTCACCATCATCATGGACAAATAACTCAGGATCATAAACATAGAGTTTGGTCATATCTACATTCTGGTTGGTTTCGACCATATATGTCCAGGATATGTAGTGTAGTTGATAGGTTCGAAGGCTGAACATGAACAGTAACCTATGAATAGAATGCAAACAATCAGATTTGAGTTAAAACACATATAGGATATATCTACCAATCGAAATTAGTCAAAACATTTAAAAGTAAGGTAAAAGTAAGAATTTATGTTAAATTGATGAGGAACATGGAACAGAGCTTGCTTCTATAATTCCTAGTCCATTCAAAATCCTTAAGAATGATTTTTCATGTAAAGGTTTTGTAAAAATGTCTGCAAGTTGATTTGTTGTCTTGAAAAAATGGACTTCAATGTTCCTATCTTCAACGTGGTCCTTTATAAAATGATATCTAAGAGAAATGTGTTTGGTTTTCAAGTGTTGTACCAGATTGTGACAAATACTAATGGCACTTTGTGAATCACAATAATAATGTATTTTCTTCATATTGATTGCATAGTCTCACAATTGGATTTCAATCCAAATTACTTGTGATGTGCACGCAGCAGCAACCACATACTCTGCTTCTGCAGTTGAAATCGAAACACAAGTATGATTTTTCAATTGCCAGCTCGCAAGCTTTTCATCCAATAACTGACATCCTCCAGTTTTGCTCTTTCGATTAATTTGACATCCACCTAGATCTGCATCAGAGGGCGCTTGAATAAACAATCCAGTCATTGAAGCATACCATAATCCCAACGAAACTGTTCCTTTCAAGTATCGAAAGATATTCTTAACTGCATTGAGATTGGGTTCTCTTGGGTTCGATTGATACCTAGCACAATTACATACAACAAACATAATATTAGGTCGACTTGTAGTCAAATACAAAAATGAATCAATCATGCTTTTATACATCGTTAAGTTCACAACAGGATTTTCCAACGAAACATTTAGGCGCGTGCCAATAGCCATAGGTACTTTGGCTTTCGTGTTATTCGTCATGCCAAACCTTTCAAGTAAATTGCGTGTATATTTATGTTGACTAATAAAAATTCCTTCCCTGCTTTGACGAATATTCAAACCCAAAAAGTTATTCGTTTTACCCATCATACTCATTTTGAATTGACTTTTCATGAGTTCCTCAAATTCCTTAAACATTAAAGGATTAATCGAACCAAAAATAATATCAACATAAATTTGAACGAGCATTAGGTGATCCCCTACTTTCTTTCTAAATAAAGTAGGATCAACTAATCCTTGTTTAAATTTAGCGATTTTAAAAAATTTGTTAGAGTTGCATACTAGGCACGAGGTGCTTGTTTCAAACCATCCTCTGCCTTATCTAAATATAATAGTGATTAAGATACTTATCGTTTATGAAACTAGGTGGCTATTCAACGTACATCGGTTCTTCTCGAAATCCATTGAGGAATGCACATTTTACATCCATATGATAAATGTTGAAATCCTTTTGAGTTGCAAAAGCAAGAAAAATTCATACCGCCTTGAGTCTTGCGACAGGGGAAAAGGTTTCCTTATAATCGATACTTTCTTGTTGAGAATAACCTTTTACAGCCAGTCTCACCTTTTTTCGAATAACATTTCCTTCTTTATTAGTTTTATATTTAAAAATCCACTTTAGACCAACTAATGAAACATCTTTTGGTTTAGGAATTAACCTCAAAACTTTATTTTGTTCGAATTCAGCAAGTTCAGATTGCATTGCAACAACCCAATCAGAGTGTTCTAATGAAACCTTTATTGTTTTTTATTCTAGTTTCAAAATGAACACATTAAACATACATAATTCTTGATGAATTCAGCACTTCAATTTTGGCTTGAATATGGTCTTGAGTTAAGACACAACAATTTGGATCACCAAGAATTTGTTCCTTTGGATGATCCTTTTCAACTTATCCATCGGTGGATATGCAAGATTAAAGTCTAAAGACGCATCTTTGAAAATAACATCCGCTTCTGAACCTTCTACTAATATCAAGATATTGTCAGTTACATCATGAAAATCATTATTTTGATCATTGTTATTATCAGGATACGATCCACTTGGCTCCCCATCGACCAATATATTTGATGAGTGATGCTCCCCCTCAACATCAGCATGGATCATCACACACTCCCCCTTGACTTGAGCTGTAGTTGGCATATGCTCCCCCTCAATAGCCGAATCATGCTTTTCATTTATAATTTTGAATTCAAGTTCCCCCCCACCCCCCACTTGATCATCAGTAGAAACCGATATTCTTTTGACATTCACCCTGAAAGTTAATGAAGAATGTGTGTCATTTTTATCACATGTGACAGTCAAATCATTATAATGCTTCGATGCTTCTTAAGCATGATTATCATCAGCATGGTTTTCAACATAAATGACCCTATTAGGAACTCCAAAAATCAAATCAAGATCAATATCATAAGAACTCATGATTTCAAATTCAACGTTTATTTTAAACATTACAGGATTTTGAATGACATACTATTCAAATCTTTTGATGTAATACTAATCGAATGTAAGATTGAAAGTTTCTTCGATCTTCCTTGTTCATTTGTTCAATAGCCTATAAGCTATAGAGTTATGAGAATATACCAAGAAGATTCCTTCATCAACTTTCAACTAAAATCTAGAAAGATTATCCTTGAGATTTATGATGAAACATCTGCACCCAAAAACATGAAAGAACTTAACATTAGGTTTCTTCTTGTTTAATAATTCATAAGGTGTAATATTAAAGTGACGATGAATGAACCAATGATTTTTTGTGGAACAAGCAGTCGAAAAGTTGTTCTTGCAACTTCACATAAAGAACGATTCACATAAAGAACGATTCCTCCTTTCGACAACACCATTCTATTACGGTGTGTAAGGAGACAAAAACTTCTGTGATATACCTAACTCAGTCAAGAATGAATCTAGAATTAGATTCTTAAATTCTAATCCATTATCACTCTTAATCCTTCAAACTTTCTTCTTTAAACTCAACTCTATGTTCTTGATAAAATCAATCATCACTTATGCAGTTTCAAACTTCTGTCAAAGAAAGAAAACCCAATTAAACCTGGAATAACCCTCAACAATGACTAATATGTACTTCTTCTTATTAAGAGTCTCAACAGTCTAAGGTCCACATAAGTCAATGTGAAGAAGT